AGCTTGATGGGGTCAAGATATTGGAAGAAAGGCTCGCGACGCGGCGCCGGCGGCTGCGCCGAGGCGCTGCCCGGACGCCGGGAAGGAACAGTCCCTGGCATTGAAGTCGCGAAAGTCTCGCCCGCCGATGCCATCTTGATACGAGTTTGCTCGTTGTAAGCCCATGGGCGCTGATGCTGTTCGACCTTGCTCAAGTTATCCAAAGTATCGGCGGAGCTCTTGCTCATTGTGGTTAGCTTATCAGCAACGATATTGGATCGTTTCTCTCCCCTTGGGGCAACGCCAGGACGTGGCTTCAGTCCTAATTTTCCCTCATGGAGCAACCAACGCATCTTCCGCAGGCGCTTGCAGGTAATTCGCCCTGACGTGCGTCTTGTACTCGATAGAGGTGAGGCAATGCAAACGGCATCCGCACACCGCCCTCGCGGCATGGTAATTGGCGCAAGTATACCTCCCATCGCCAGTCCACATTTTCCACCTGATAAGGGCCTCTTTCTTCCTCGGAGAGCGCACTTCGCCTTGCATCGACCACTTCTTCATCGGAGAAGATCCACGCTCTGATTGTATCATGCAAGAAAGCTACTTCCCACGCAGACCACTCTTCTGAACAAATCAAGGTCCACATCATGTGTGGTGCTGTGTCTCTAGCAACCTGTCTAACCACTGATAGTTGCACAATGCGAGAAATATCATTGAAGCGTGCTTCACCCGGCGTCGCGAGAGTCCCATCGCGACAGATGCGATACCGAAGGCGGGTCACTACCCGTCCGTTAAATACAACAATTCATTGCGAATTCTCTGCATGTGTCACACCAATGTCCCAAACGAGCGGGGCAATCTCATGGGGCCACATTCCTTGAGTGGGTAGTCCACGGCCGACAGTGGCGGCACCCTCAGCCTGGTATACTCTGGTGGGTGGAGCCTCACCGCCTCTCCGCTGGCTGAGCCAGCGAGGGGCGCACTGAGCAGGTTTAGCAAGAAACTCGCGCTTTGTTGGTATCTACTTGAGAATTCCGTAATCAGGTGCTTTGCACAATCCACTGAATTTGTTTGGGCATTTGATGACCCCTTTTTCCCAGTTCTGATTCAGCGGTGGTGATCTTTGCGACGACATCGACGACGGCGACGATTATGGCGACGCGGACGATGGCGACGATTATGATGTCGATAGCGACGCAGGCGATACCGACGACGATAAACGGGGGAGCGCTCGCGCGGGCGTTCGCGCCGAGGAGGGGGGCGAGAGCTCGCGCGGAGCGGGGGGGCGGCGGGGGGGGGGGCGAGGGGGGGGGGGGCGGGGCGGGTGCGCGAGGGGGGTGAACGACAAGAATGGGGAATGGGCCAAATCAATTATCGCGGTCGCGCTGCCATTGTCATCGCAATGGCAGCTGGGCGCGCCGCGCTGTCTGCAAGCGCGGGGCCTCGGCCCCCCAAATGGCGGCGGCTGCCCAGGCAGCCCGCAAGGCGGCAGCGGCGGCGGGGGGGGGGGACGAATCACCCATAGGGCTAAAAGGTGCCACGGGCGATCCAGGAAAGCTCCCGGCCGCCCTCGCCAAGAAGGTCGATGTTTTCGCCGAGGGGAGGGCGTTTCCGAAGACTGCGCCCCCCCCCCCTTGCGCCCGGAGCCGGGGGCGAGGGGGGCGAAGGGGCCGGCCCCGCGACCGAGGAACTTCGGGCAAGGCTGGACTTTGAGAAGAAGGCCAGTCGCTTCGCCGTCCCGGATGAGGATCGCGCCGTGGACGACGCTAGATGACGCTAAGGTTGCATCCTCGGCCAAGAAGGCGCTGGAATCGAAGCCGCCTGGGTGCGGGCGCTCAACGCCACTCAGCGCCCGACTGTCGCCGAGGCGACGGCGTTTCGCCTTGCCCCAGCGGCCGAGGCCAGGCAGCAGCAGATGGAGGGGGCCAGGGAGGCAGTGGAGGATGAGCCGGCCAAGGCGGTGGGCATTGGCGGATGCGACGGCTGCGGCGTCAGGTCAAGGAGTTTGAGGAGAAGGCCAAACATAACATCTGGGGGATGAATGGCAGGGGCCGCCGGAGGTGGTGGGGGAGCGGGAGGAGGTGCCTCGGTCGAGCCGCCCTTTTCTTTCGCCCCAGTTCCTGGTGAGGAGCTCACTTATGAATTCTCCGCGGGAAGTTGGTAGATCAGGGGCGGCTGGAAGGATGCAGTTACGCGGCCGTCCTCAGAAAACAAAACAACAAGGACCGCAACTGGCCCCCCCGCAGTGAAGTTCCAGATGGGATTCAGAGCAAGAAGCCGCCCCGCCCGACCCCCCCTATTCGAATCCTTCGTATAATCATATTGTCTCTTCCATGGGGGCCCCTTCTCACGCGCGATCAGACCCCCCCCCGCCTCCTCTGAAGCCGCCGTGGATTCCGACTTCCCATTCTACGCGGCACGAGGAGAGCGATGATGAGGAGGAGGGAAAGGGGGAAGGAGGGGATTGAAGATGACAAGACGGATAAGAAGTCGAACTTTGGGCAAATGTTTTTGCGAGAGGTTCTTGGGGGACTGTTGGGGCCATCGTGAAGGCTCTCTCGGCCCCCCCGCGGAGCTCTATTGGGGCTCTCTTGGAGGTCTTTGGGGGCTCACTTGAGGCACTCTTGGGGCTCTTTTGCAGAATATTGTGGTTGTTTTGGGGTGTATGGGAGGCTCCTCGGGGCCGCCCTTGGCCTCTTCGCTCGTGAAGAGGGGGGCGTTCAATTTAGCCCGCCCCCCCCCATCGGAGGCCCAGAAGGTGCGTCTCGGTGCCCTCTTGGACCGCTTTCGGGGCCCCGGTATCCAGGCGAAGGACCCAACCCTATGCAGTTGTGGGCACCGCAATTGTGAATATCTTCTTCGGTGAAGCTCCCTCTGGGGCCACGAAGCGCTGCACTGGGTGGGGGGGAACGCATGCGGGCGGTAGCACTGGGGCCGTCGATGGAGCTCCGAAATGCCAAATTGAGTGTTTGGAGGGGGCATATGGATGGTCCCACTGGGGGCTTCGGTGGAGCTTCCTCTGGGGCCACGAAACGCTGTACTGGGTGGGTGAAACTGCCAAAGTGGGCTTCCGGGACGCATGCGGACGGTCCGTCCCACTGGGGGCTTCGGTGGAGCTCCTAATGGGCCCACGAAGCGCTGTATTGGGTGGGTGAAAATGCCAAATCGAGCAGAAGGAGAGAAGAAGGAAGAAGTAATGAGGAGGAGCGGCTAAGACCACCCTTACGACGACGACGACGACGACGACGACGACGACGACGACGACGACGACGACGACGACGACGACGACGACGACAGCAGCGGGCCGAAGGCCACCAGGTGAAGGCTTCCAGAGGTTCCCACAGGATTCTGGAACCCCCTGGACGCCCAGGGGCGTTAACAGCGGCTCAAGAGCTTGATTTCTCCTCCAACCCGCGAGCCTCGGTCCTCGACAGACCCCTGAAGAGGAGGAGGAGGCGGAGGAGGAGGAGGAGGAGGAGGAAGGAGGAGGCGAACGAGCCGTGCCGCGAGACTGCCGCGCCCGCCGTGGTGCTCTGGCGCCTCACAGCATCACGCCGTGGGGCCACGTGCCGAGCCCCTTGGGGCCATCGAGCGACCCTCGAGCGGTTCTCGACGCTCGGCCACGTTGTGCGGCCCGCCCGGGGGGAGGAGTTCAGCTCACGTCCTCGCTGCCCTGCCGCCGAAGCTGCGCCTCCTGGGGCCCGCCCAGTTCTGGAATGGTGGCGCAGAGGCAGCGGAGGGCTTTGCCATGCCAGGGTCGAGAGTTTGCTGGCCTGGCGGGGAAACGCGCAAGGGGGGCCCAGGGGAGAATGCAGAGGGGGCTGGCCTTCTCAGAAGCCCTCCCGCCTTCCGAGAAGCCTCCCAGCCCCCCTCAGAAGCCACGAGCGGTTTCTCGAAGGCCAGGGGGGGGGGCCCTTCAGAAGCTCCGCCGCCTCCTGCGCGGGCCGGCCCCTCTGCCGCATTCCCCCCCCCCCCCCGGGCGCGCTTCCGACAGGTGGAGGCCTTCGACCCGCCGTGCCGTGCCGCGAGACGGCCGTGCCCGCCGCGGTGGCGGGTGGCCAGTGGCATGCGCCGCCGGGCTGCGTGCCGCGCCCCTGCAGCCCCTTGAGGGGTCCCCGATCGGCCCCCGCTCGCTCCCAGGCCCTCGGCCCTCGGCCAGGTGGAGGCCTTCAACCTGCTCGGGGTGAGCTTCGGCTGCTTCGGCAACCACGACCTCGACTACGGCCTGGAGCCTGGCCACCGCGGGCGCGGGCTGCGCGCCGTGCTGCAGGAGAGGCGGCCCTCGGCGGTCCTCGACCGCCCCCGGCGGCCCTCGGCGGCCTTCGGCAGCCCTCGTCGTAGTCGTCGTCGTCGTCGTCGTAGTCGTCTTTGCCCTCGTCTTTGGCCTCGTCCTCGTCCTCATCCTCGTCCTCATCCTCATCCTCGTGGTCGTCGTCATCCTCCTCGTATTCGCTATGTCTTGCCCTCGTCGCTCCCGCCCGTCCTCTCCCTTCTCCTCCCTCGCCGCAGAGTGCCACGATCTCCCCGCACAACGGCCAGCCACCGACCGCTAGCCCGCCGCTAGCCCGCGTGTGGGCATCGAGGAGGTGCAAGAACCATAATGTCACGTTGTGATTGTGTCACGACGCGGTCCACGGGAAGTCTGGACCTTCTTCTCTTCACTTTGTGCCGTTCCCTGACGGCTTGAGGGCCTGCGGCAGGGGCCCCATGTGGGAAACAAACTAGCATCGTGATATGTTCACGACGCGAGGAGGTCTGGCTGCTGGGTCGTCACTCAGGTGCCCAGCGGCCGTTCGGGACGTTTCGGGCACCGTCAAGACGCTCACGGTGAGACATCCACAAACTTCCAAGATCAAAATCATATTAACACAAGACGACGACGTAGACTAGTGGCGACACGAGCGGCGGTGCAAAAGCAGGATGAGTATCAACAGGAGGAGGCGTCAGGGACAACGTCAGGGGGTGGATAGGCTCAGGGGGGGATGAATCGTCCCTCAATCGCCCACTCATCGCCGTCCGTAGCAATTTTGGCTCAAGTTCAAACCGTGGGGCCTCGGCGGCTTGAACTTGCCCGAAACAGCAGTGAGGCCTCGGCCAAAGCATCTACTATGAGCTATTGCCCCCTTAACAGACGTGCACCAAAGCACGCTCCGCGTCATCTTGTGCGCGGCTATCACACTGCAGCACTTTGCTGCAGTCAGTTGGTCGTTTCCCGCAGATTCCACCATGGGCCGCCGTGGTGTGCTGAAGCAGGAGAGGCGCGATGTGCGTGGTGAGTCGTCTCCATCGCCCCGCCTCCGCACAAGTTCTTCGAGGTCTCCTTCGCCCGCATGTGGCCGTCGGCAGGCCAGCCGCAGTCCTCTCAGCCGTTCAGGTTCAACGAAGACATCCATGCGCAGCAGCGGGCGAAAAGTTCGACACCATCATGGGCAGCATCCACAGCATGACTCTGAAATGGATCCAAAACGCCGACGACGTGACATCCCTTCGCTTCGCCGTCTCTACAATCGCCACCAACTGTGGCGAGCTTGCGGGCCATGTCGCCCATGATCCTCCAGTACGACTCCAAGCACAGTGAGCTAGATAACCACTTCGAGTGTGCCATGCGTGACCCAGATGCGCGCATCGGCAACATGCACCAGGTTGTCTGTGGGCAGCAAAACGTCCACATCGGCGACTCCCCCATGACAAAGAACTCGTCCATCCTGAACTCCACGTTCCAGACGCTGGAGCTGCAGCAGATGACGCCGTTGCACGAGGCTCAGCAGATCACCGAAAACCACGTTTGCGAGATCCGGCCATCACCTATTCCGAAATCCCCACACTCCAATTCGAGACCCGCTGGTGGACATCCAGCAGATGAGCATCAACAGCAGCAGGTTTGCAAGCTTGTTCTGCTTGGATTTGCGCGACCTCTTGCTGGTGCTATGCGGCTAGTTGGCTCGGCCTGTCGCGCGGCCTTCGCTCCCACATCCGATCGCCAGAAAAGGATCGCTCCAGCTCTCTGCATCGGCCAGCAAGAAACGCTGATGCTCGAGGCTGCCAGTGCTGCATCGAATGCCCTGGGACAATGATTCCAGGTCTGGTGGTGCTTGGCCCCATCCCGATCCACTTCCCCTGTCCTCTTCGCACTCCCCTCGCCTCCGCAGGGACCTCGGCTTTCATGGCCGCCAGTTTGAGTTGTTTCTCGGAATGGTCCGAGCAAGACTGACTCACTGAGATGTTGAAGCCGCGTGGTTTCGAAATTGGAAGCACTGGTCTCTGAGGATCTGCATGCATCTCGCGCGTGACCCATGACCCCGTCCATGCCGTCAAAGTGTTTGTTGGCGAAGACGGCCGGGTCACAGCTGAAGTGTATTCTGACGCGTTCGTTGAACCCGGTATCTCGAACCAGCAGGCACCCAGGTGCAGTTGAGGCGCCCGTTTAGGCGCTGAGACTGGCAGTTCCGTCATTGATTCGTGCAGTCCCGCCCCCTATCCGCCTCTTGTCTCGGCGTCCTCCTCCTTCTCTATTCCGTCATCAACCTTGTTGGTGGTTGCGTGGAACGTGGAAGCTCTGCTCAGCTCCGATCGTTCGGCCTCGTGCAGATCTTCTCCCCAACTCCAGTCGTTCCTACACCTCTGCTCCGAAACTGATGCTGTTGTAGCACTATTAGCGCATGAGCAGTTCGGCGACGTCAATGACCTCGAGCGCGAACTTCGATACCCCTCGATGTGCTATTCATTATTTCCCGACTCCGCTTGAGAAGGTAGAGTTGTCGCTACTCTCGGAGAGGCTCTGTGCTCACTTTTCTGAGGTGCGACATGCGAATGTGATTGCAGGCCGCGTTCCTGATTTATTATGCGAGGCAACAGTGGACACATGGCCATTTGCAACCTTCACCTGCCCAACACAAGCGATCCCATGTCGCTCATCTCTGGCGCGCTGCGGCATCGACCGCAATAATTTCTGAGTCTCCAGCCATGGTGTTCGGACTTCCTGGCCCGCGCTCTTTTCGCGGGCGACTGGAACGTCGCCTCGAGGGGGAGGGGGCGCGCCATGGTGGCGGGGGAGATCCGGCACCGGCGCGTACTTTTCAAAGGCTTCTCCCTTCCTGGATCGGGCTCTACAAAGGTCATTGCGCCCGTCGTGGTCGCAAATTCCTTGCTGTTCACAGGACGCCACACATCGATCGATCGCACCTACTCTTCCCTCCCCTCCGCCTTTGCGTGGTACCTGGGCGTCAAAGTTAGTGTCCAGAGTGCGCGCGCCCAGCGCCCGCATCCCCGTCGTCGCTGCAATGGACAGCCATCGGCCTTGCGATCGGCCCGTGGACCCCCTCTCTCTTGCGAAGGATATGTTATTTGAAGCTGGACTTGCTGCTCGCGCGGCTCCTCGGCGCCGGCCTGCTGATTCATTTTGAGGGGAGCGCTTCGGTGCATTGCCTGCATTGAGTGTCCAGCACCGTGAAGATGAGAGACGTCCTCGGCAAGGCGTTGCTCGGCGCCCTCGGCTTGCCCCGCACTTCTGCGAGAACGCCCTGACTCATTCGAACTTTGACGGGGTCTGCCAGCACGCGCGCTGCCTGCATGACAAGATACTTGACAACGAGGAGCGCGAGACTCCCGAACTGCAGATTGAGGAATGAGAGAAACACGCAGTGAGTGCTCGCCTTGGCCGCCGTCTAGACCGTTGAAGGCAGCTCAGGAAGCGTGCCTCTCTGCGCTCGGCATTGGGCTCGACTGGGCCCCCTCTTGGCTCCCCTCGCGATCTGGCCACTGCACTGGTCCGACGTTTTCATGCTCCTGAGGTTGCTCGTCAACTTCGGAATGGGGTCAGCGCCTTCGCCCAGGTCATCCAGGGCCCTCTCGTCGTCGAGTGGTGGCTGGACTACGTCGCCTGGTTTGAGTGGCTCCATAAACGCGCTCATAGTATGCCTGGGCCTGGTGGCTCCCCGCATGCCGTTCGGAACAACGACCTTCTGCCTCCGGGATCTTCCGCTCTGTCTACCCCGCCCTTTCGTTTGAGTCGATTTCCGAGCTTCCCAGCGAGATGCGTCGCGGTCCTTTCGTTTTGCGCCGAGAGGCGCGGGCTCGCGAGATCGGCTTGGCGAATCGACTTTCACCCGTTCGGCCGAGCGCGCGCGCCGTCGTCGGCGCGGGTAGCGTCGACGTCACATTGTCATTGATAGCGTTCATCGCACTGGTGGCCCAGAACTCGATGCACTTAGTTGGTCATGAGCAAGCACGTGCGAAACGCTGTGGCATGCGATCTCTGACTGTTCGCGCTGAAGTTCGGGGTCTAATCCGGCGCGTGAGAGATGATAAGCACTCCGCCCTCTGCCTTGCTGATTTCTCCGCACCCTTTTCCTCTCTGCCGCCAGTGTGTATGTCCTTTGTCATGGCTAGGATGTGCATGTGCCCATGCGTCGCGAAGTTTTCCAGATGATTCATCGCGAAGATGTGGGGATCAGTACTTTTGGGGGTTGACGGTTCGATTTGGTTGCCCTGGAATCTCGCGAGACACGAGGGCGCACAGCGCCCATGCACCTCTTCGCGCTTGCCGTGGCCCCTGTCTACGGTGGCTGCGGCGTCGCGATGGCGCGCCCGACGAAGCACGCGCAGTTCACTTCCTCCTCGGCCTCGCCAATATCCTGACAGATCTTTGCCCAGTCCTCTCTGCGTGCGCGCTGCCCGGTGAGATCGCCAATGTGTGGCTGAACTTCCAAAGAAACGCCACATCGTAATGCGCGGAGGTGCGCAACGTGCGCCCGCCGCGGCTGCGCCCCCGCGTCTCCGGCCAATCCGCGCCAGCGTCGACGTTTCGACCTGGGCCATGCACCTAGGTGCATCCAGAAGCCCCGCTGTCCACTCGAACGTTCGGCATTGCCCGCTCCGCCCTCTGCGTCCAGGCTGCCATTCCATCTCCAGATTCCCCCCCCCCTGTCTCCGCAGGTGGCGATGTGCCTCGAGGGAGGGGCCCTCCTTCACTGCTGGTCTCCGCAACGCTACCTCGTGCGAGATCGCCGCAGCGCTGCGAGAAGTTGGTCTCCAGTGTGCGTTCGTTGATAAACGCGCGTTTGTGAAAGACGCGTCTCCCCGATACATCCCCAAGTCCCCCCCCTTCCAGGACATCGTGTCTGAGCTGGGCCTGGCCAGGTGCGACGCGTCACATGCCCTTTGCCAGTGGCGTCGTGGGTGACGCCAGACATCGCGCATTCGGTATATGAGGAGTCTGAGGGATTGGCTTTTCTGGGTGGAGTCCTGGACTCTCCAGGTCGTCGTCGTCATTCCATGCCGGAATCTATATCAGTTTGTTCGCGTCCAGTTTTCTCCGGAGTTGGTTCAAGATATTCTGCTCCGCCGCGCCCGCTTGTTTTCTCCTTGGAGCTGACGCGTCTCATGTTCATGTTTGGTGGGGCACGCGAAGCGCGTGATCAAGCTGTCGTCGATTTATTTTGGAGTGGCATTACTCCGCCCACTGACTGCCCCTTTCAACGCGTCTGCCCGTTTCCATCAGCCTGTCGTTTGATGTTCCATTAACAGTCCTACTTCCCAGGGTGGAGGGAGGAGATTTTGATTCCATTCATCACTGTCCTGAATGTCCGAGGTTCAAGATGGCTTTCAGGTTTTGGCTCCAAAGGTCGCTTCGTGTTTACGATTATCGTGCCCCCTATCTGCCCGCGAGCCTGGGTTGGTTTAATTACATCTTCCTTCCTCTTTTTCTTCGATGACTTTCAGTCTTGTTTAAGACGCACTGCCTGTGCCGATGCTCTCCTGGCCGCCCATCATGCTCGTCGCGTGGCCCGCCCAGGCACTTCTCAGCAACACTTCCAAGCCGTCCTCGGTCTCGCCGCGCGCCGGCGCGAGCCTCTGTCGAACGCATTGCCCGATTTTTACCCACATGAAGTACGCAAACTGTCAATACCCTCTTCTGTTGCCACTGTCCTTGTCAGCGCTCCCAGTGCATGCTCCAGGTGCGCCTCGTGGGAGATGGGTGCTCCCTGGCGGTGGTGGCGGCACATAGCAGACGCATTGGTGCAAGTCAGGGTCCGCTCCGCCATGCTGTTCTCAGGCGTCGTTGAGACTGGACCAACGGCCTCCAGTAACGCGCTTGGCCCCCCTCTGGGGCGGAGTGGTCGTCCAAACCTGGGGCGGAGTGGTCGTCCAAACCATGGGATTGGACAAAAACGCAGCAGGGTGCGGCAGTTCTCCGACATTATGTTATGTTTTTTGTCAATGTTCTTCGGAAGGGAAGCCCCCGAACAACCTTCCAACGCGGGTGGTTTTCTTGAATTTTCGGGAGGGGTTTCGGGGTCCCACAATTAGAATCATATGCTCCCCAAGTCTGTTTTGTTTCTGGTGCTTGTCGGAGGTTCTCTGGCCACCCCAGGCCCCAATGGGGAGAAACTCAACAATTTGCTTGGCGGGAGACCCAACCATGTTCAGTTGTAGGCACTGCCGTTGTACGCGCCGCATTCGGTGGAGCTACCTTTTGGCGCCACGAAACGTGTGAAGGGTGTGCCACAATAGGTGCGGTGGGCGAATGCGAGCGCTGGCATTTGGGCCTTCGGTGGAGTTCCCCATGGGGCGACGAAACGTGCGAGGGGTGTCCCAACATGGGCGCGGTGGGCGCATGCGAGCGCTGGCATGTGTGCCTTCGGTGGAGCTCCCTATGGGGACACGAAACGCGTGTGAGGGGTGTCGAGCGCTGGCATTTGGGCCTTCGGTGGAGCTGTATATGGGGCCACAAAACGTGCGAGGGGTGTCCCAAAATTGGCGCGGTGGGTGCATGCGAGCGCCGGTATGTGGACCTTCGGTAGAGCTCCCTATGGGGCCAAAAAGCGTGTCATGGGCGTGTCAAGGTGGGTTCGGTGGGCGTACACACACGTGTGAGGGGTGTGCCCAAATGGGTGCGGTGGGCGCATGCGAAAACTGGCATGTGTGCCTTTGGTGGGGCTCCCTATGGGGCCACAACACGTCTGAGGGGTGTGCCAAAATGGGCGCGGTGGGCGCATGCGAGTGCTGGCAGTTGGGCAGTCGGTGGAGCTCCTTGCGGGGCCACGAAGCGCGTGAGTGGAGTTCGGGCGCGGTGGGCGCATGCGAGCGCTGGCATGTGGGCCTTCGGTGGGGTTCCCTATGGGGCCACGAAGCGTGCGAGTTGTGTCTCAAAATGGGTGCGGTGGGCGCATG